GGCATGTTGAGGAGTGGAAGGGAACATTTTTCTTCCGATGCTCAAGGATCAGCCATTTCGAGTTATTTCTTGGCACTGAGGAAAGAAAGAACATTCCAACCAAGTCGAGGCTTGTAATGCTCTGAGGAGTACACTCCTGAATATTTGCTTCTTTTCTGCGCTCTTGTCTGGACAGAGCATACTCGTCTCTTTGCAATTTTCAGTAGCTTAGCACAATTTTTTACTAATAAATTGTTTCTATGTATTTTTTGTAATGCTACAGAGAAGAGTAGTACTTCTTGCGATCGTCCAAAAATGACAGATATTTTATGAAATGTAGCACAAGATGAAATAATTTTTATGCTTTATATACAAGAACTTTTCCATCTTGCTAGCCAGTCGTCACAAATTAAAAAAAATACTAAGTTTTCTAGTGATAATGGTTTATGCGAGTGTTTAGATTCATGAACATAGATTTCTTGTTACAAAACGAAAGGAAGATGTTTCTCAAAAGAAATAATATTGAAATCCATATGCTATGGTGTATGAAACAGTGTTTGTATACTGTTATATACCACGAGAGTTAAATAAATTAACTTACAATGTAGTTATCAGAGTGTTACTGGTGTTGTTTTAAGGACGTTCGTGCGAAAATTTTCCAGTCGATAGATTTTTTTTGAATTTTTACTGCAGTCGGATGATGAATTACTTGTGTCAGAAATGCAAAGAAAATTGGGGGTACCGACTTCGTTTCGGAGATAGAGCGTGTGGAAAACTCTACCCTGATTTTGAAAAATTGGCGCACGTAATTCAGCATGGTCTACAGGGGATTATAGTTGAAAATATCGAAGGTGAGTCAACGGAGGCAATCGATCTTAGTCATATTTTGTAGAAGTGGGTCTGTTGCGTAAATAATTCCAAATGTTGCCAACGTTTTCACGAAACTTAACCCTTCAAGACTGAGGCATTTGAAACCACCGTACAGATAAACGAAGAACTAAAAAAAACGGAGTTCGATTGTGCATTTTGCAAAAAATTCGAACTTTTAAACGATAGCAGGAGCCCATGACCATGGGCTCCTGTCGATAGATTTTCTTCATATTTTCGCTAAACGTGGAAAATCGATAGGGAGAATTATCCATCAAAAGAAAAATAGGGGTCACCGAACATCCAAGATCGTTAATCCAGGTAAAGCTATGGCAATGGCCATCTGCCCTGTAGCGCGCACTCGATGCATGACCTGGCATGTGAATTTGCGTGCGAAGTAAGGATGCAAAAACGTTTTATTTTGAGCTATCCAATGCGACATTAAGGACTTTATAGTTAAAACAGCTGATACGTACGAAGGATGCCTGCAGACAAGAGTGCATTTGCCACCCGCCCTAACTAGGCCTGTGCTGTTAGGCGGGTTTTTCTATGATCGCAAGCTATTACCGACTCATCTGTAGGTGCTCTAAGGCTCTTGTTGGTTGTAGAAAAACCTTCAAAGCCCGCTCGCAAGTGTGCCTGGCAAGCTGGCGAAAAGCCTGAGAAATGGACTTCACTCCTCATTTCGATCTGAAAAAAGTAATACGTATCAAGACCATAAAGTGAAAGGTCGATAGCCGGTCGTTTAGCCCCCAGCTCGATTAGCCCCTAACTGGTTAGCCCCCAACCAGAAGTCGATTAGCCCCCTTATTCTAGACTTCTAAAAGTCCTTCCCAATAATCCTTCCCTGGCCTGTTGGCTTACGTCGCTCAAAGATTACCCTCTCGCTTCGTCCGACGAAGATAGATAAGTCAAGGATTAAGAAAAGGTCGACTTGTGGCAAGTCTGCCTTATTCACGCTTAATTCTAAAGAACGAGAAATAACGAGCGAGAAATAAACAATGTTGCTGGTCAGAGCACATTTCAATACAGGATAGTAAACTTATGGAATTTATTAGATAAAGATTTAAAACTGTGCAAAGCTTCAGTAAACTTTAAGAAAAATCTTGAAACAAAGATGCTTGACGACTTCTTGAAACAAGAATAGTGTTTCATTCCTTCATGTAATTGTAAAGATTCTAGAGGTTGCCTTTACTCAAATCTTAAACAACTACAGGGGTAGCGCGGTGCGAGATATTCAAACTCCACTTGGTTGATTCAAACTGATTTAATGACAGATCAAGTCCATAGATCTATGCCTTGTTTAGACTTGAACGGTTTACCGAGGTATCAGAGTTTACTTACCTAGGTAAACATTTTCCGTGTGTAAACGCCAACTGATACTTTGGTAAATGGCGCAAAAGACAAAAGAAATTTAACCGAGGTAAAAGTTGTAATTACCCTGTGATCAGGCATGGTTACAGTTGGTAAGCAAGGTCAAGATGACAGATATATCCGCTTGTGGCGGCGTAATATTTCACTTCCCGTGGTGAGCAGATTGCGCGATTGTCGACAAAGCGTTTCTATTCCAGTTTTCACCAGGCGATCATGGCAGATAACGTGGAAAGATTGGATCGATCTTCTTACAGCGAACAATCCGTCACGTAAAAGAGAG